TTATGTTTCTCATAGACATTTTGGGATAAAAGACATAGTAAATGCTCAATAAAAATAAGTGATTAGACCAGCCAGACACAGTGGCTCACACCTGTAACCCCAACACTTTGGGAAACAAGAGGATTGCCTGAGCCCGGGGGTTTGAGACTAACGGGCAACTTAGTGAGACCTAAAATAAATAATGTCTCTAAAATAAATTAAAAAAAAATTAGCCAGGCATGGGGTTACCCGTCTATAGTCCCGGCTACTCAGGAGCCCGAGGTGGTAGGATCACCCAAACCCATCAGGTCGAGGTTGCAGTAGCCGTTAGCATGCCACCGCATACCAGCCTGGGGCGACAGAGTGGGACTCTGACTAAACAAGACAAACAAAAAAAGTCACTAATATTTAATTATTTGAGTTATTATTCATGCTGGAAAACATAACAAACAAGCTTGTCTTCTTCCACCTTTTATTTGTGAAATGAATGCTTACTAGGGAAAAGTGAGACAAAATCTTATAATATGAGAAGATAGTGTCAAATATCTGGATAAAAATGGAAAATCAATGCAATGTTTTCAAACATCCTGTAGTCTATATACCAACCTTTTTATAGCTTTTCTTTTCATTTGGCATGTTTCCTTTGTAAATGTGTGTGTGTGTGTGTGTGTGTGTGTGTGTGTGTGTGTGTGTGTGTGTGTAGGAAGTCAATACACTTGTATGCACTTATCCCTTCCTCTTGAGCACCTCTTTGAACAGTATATACCCCATGGAACTTTACACACATTATTTCAAAACTTCATCAAGCATCTATACAGACAAAATTTATCAGCTCATTTTACACTTTGGAAAACTAAAGCTCAGGGTGGTAGCATAACTCATTTAAGCTCAGACAGCTAGAAAGCATTGGAGACCCACAATTGAAACCCAGGTCGTTTTCCTTCGGAGTTGATGTTCTTTCCCACTATTATGAGTATTTTGTGAATTTAAGACTAATGGCCTAAGGAGACTGGCTGATAAATTCACTAAGAGAGAATCAACATCCTCAAATGCTAATGATTTTTGTGTTCAAACTTGTTCTTATTATTAACAATGTAACTCATTTTCACAATGAAAAACACTTTCAAAAGCTAGAATTTTTATTCACTCACATAATGCACAGTTATACAAATTATAACAAGTGTATAATTATACACAACATAAGGTAAGGCTAATAACATGTTTTTCCTTCTTGATACTACTGTGAATAGAGCCACGTTGGTAAAGTTGGCCACTGCAAAGAATATGTTTGTACATAAGAGTCCCTGCCATACCATCTTTATTTGGTTTCATGGTTCTATGAAAAACGAAGAAAGATTAGTCCATCAGAAAAACTTTTTTGACAAGGAAAGTATCATCATATTTAACAAAATTCTGGAGGGAAAAATATTTCCTACTGATCAGACAAATGTGAAAGGTCAGCGAAATACAATCACAGCAGATGATTGTGAAGGTTGACCTCAGGATGTGTGCTCTGAAGGAATACTAACGACTCTCCCATGATGTGCTGGCTTGTATGGATACCACTAAAAGCTCCAGTTGACAAGCTTGATGATGAAGTGCACTTTCCCTTCAAGCAACACATGCTTGGATGATAGACAGCTATGTTAAGTTGGGGATTTATTTATTTTCAAAGAATTTTGAAAATCTTGCCCTACAAACTCAGTTTAAAACTCAGACAATTTATTGCTGATAAAGGGAACCTGCACCTAAGATTGGGCCTTGGGGTTTACAGGGTATAATGACACATCGGTTTTATCAATGTATAGCCTCTTTTGATCTTCAAAGGATGAATTTTTCGGTTTGGATTTTTGTACATCGGACTTCATTGATGAATCATTTTATGCCTCAAAAATATGATTTATACCTGGGTGTGATGGTTTATGCCTGTAATCCTAGCAGAGGTGAGGCAGAGGTGAAAGGATTGCCTGAGCCCAGGGATTCAAGACCAGCCTGGGCAACTTGGAGAAACTGCATCTCTACAATAAATCCAAAAATTAGCTGGACATGGTGGCACACGTCTGTGGTTCCAGCCACTTGGAAGGCTGAGGTGGAAGGATCACCTGAGCCCAGCAGGTCGAGGCTGCAGTGGCTATGAGCTGTGCCAATGCCCTTCCAGCCTGGGTGACAGAGTAAGACTCCAACTTTTTAAAAAATGCTATATTATCCACTTAATCTTATTTTATAAATAAATTTCATTGAATGAAATGTGAATAACCCTAACCCTAACATGAACATTCAATGTTGGATATCATTTTATTTTTGACTTATTAGCAACTCTCTTGTGATCCTTTATTTTAAATATTTCATACAAGACAAAAGAAAACAAATACATTTGACACTTAAATAGATATTTTCAAAATCAGGTGAAAATTATCTTTCTCATTGCTTCTGATGATTTCTTATAGCCTTGGAATATTGAGTTAATTTACTATTTTACAATGAATTAGTATGTTCTTTCCCCTAAAAGTAATGAGACTGATTTGTCAGAAAAAATGAAAGGCTTTCTGTAGGTTATGATTGATGCCAATAAAAGAGTGGGCCCTTCCAGAACAAACCTAACTGAATTACTTCAAATTTTAGTAGTGTCATTGGTTTGGCTCTTAAAGATATTATTTTGCCTTCAATAGTGTAACATTTAAAATGTAATTGTAGCCGGGCTCGGTGGCTCAGCCTGTAATCCCACGCCTTGGGAGGCTGAGGTGAGTGGATTGCCTTAACCCGTGGGTTTGAGACCCGCCTGGGCAACTTGGCGAGACCTCATCTCTACATTAAATTAAAAAATTAGCTGGGTGTGGTAGCGCACGTGCCTGTAGTTCCAGCTACTTGGAAGGCTGAGGTGGAAGGATCGCCGGAGCCCAGCAGGTCGAGGCTGCAGTGGCCGGGAGCAGCCACTGCACTCCAGTCTGGGCGACAGAGTGAGACTCCAACTCAAAAATATATATATATAATTGTAACGGGGTGCAGTGGCTCACACCTATAATCCTAGTGCTTTGGGAAGCCGAGGTAGGAGGATGGCGTGAGACTAGGAGTTCAAGACCAGCCTAGGCAACATATTGAGACCCTATCTTTTTTTTTTTTTAAAGGCAGACTTGGGGATACTCGCCTATAGTCCTTGCTACTTGGGAGGCTGAGGTGGGAGGATCGCTTAAGCCCAGGAGTTGGAGGCTGCAGTGAACCATGATCATGCCACTGTACTCCATCCTGGGTAACAGAGCAAGATCACAACTCTATAATTAATTAATTAATTAGTTAATTAAAATGTAAATGCCCCTGGAGAGATAAACCTTAAACTTACATCAGTTAATATATTATCATTTAAGAACTTAGCAGGAATTACTGAGCAGCTATTAGAGATAAATGAAAATATGTTTCATGTCCAATTGGAAATGAGTTATGAAAACATCTTCAAGAAGTGCTGCCTACCTGGTTTCAACCTTTCTGGACTCAGAATCCTTATTTTAATAGAGAGGAATCAGCTTTTGTAGCAAACATCTAGAATTGTATCTTAAAGTGTTCTTAAATTTGAGATTGTGTGGTCATGATACATGGTCCGTTGAGAACTGCCCAGCTCATATTATAAAATGAAATCTGAGCACATTCGTATCACTTAGGGTTCCAGCAGGAAATAGGTGGCATGCTCAAAGAAGTAATTCAAGATAATGTAATGCAAAACTAAGGGTGGATTTAAGGGAACCAACAGATAATAAGGAAGCACCTAGAAACCCTGAGATTAAGAGCAGGAAGTTATTATCACCCTTAGGCCAGAAAGTACAAGGGGGTAGTGTGTGTTGTTGGAACCTAACAAGTGGTAAGGCAATGGTGGAAGTGGGGACTGACTGGAGCTCTGACTCTTTAGATGGAAGAACAGAGCCACTGCCAAACCATGGCCAGCAGGTCCTGCAAGGAGAGCACAGACCTGACCTCGCTGCCCTTCCTCTTTGGTCTGCTGCCGGTGCTTCCTGTTGACCTAATACAACCAGGAACCTGAGAACAAGGGAACCCAGCCAATGTGGTCTCCTTCCCCCAACCTCCCCCACCCCACTCAGGGGAGGGTGAAGAATGGGTCTGGAAAGGCAGACATTTGATCATAATCCTGATTACACAGGATACCAGTTCTTTGTTAATTCCTTGCTAAGGAGCTGGCGGGAACCCTTTGCCATGATATTCCTCCAACTTTCTCTTCTTCCAGGGTCTAAAGTTCTCATGAAGCTTTTTATTCAGTTGTTGTTCCACAGCATTCTGTGCTAGGATATGATGCAGTCCGTGCAGTGGGTTTTTGCTTTTTGTAAAATAACCTCTTTTTTCTTGCTTGCTTGCTAAAGTTTGCTTAGTACTGTGTGTTGAATAGTTGATTTGAATCAAAGGTGTCTGTTTGACATGCTCCCTAATATCCCAGTTCCTGGATTCCCACTCAACAAGGATGGCTTTTATCAGTCCATCTAGCTGTAGCACTTCCTTCTCAGATCATTGCCTTGTCCTGCAACTCCGGTTTACAGTCACGATGGCCCACTCACCTTGGCAGTGAGAGGCTTTACAAATTTATTTTAATGGGAGAAGTCATTTTCTCATTGGGGTGAAACTTTACAGTGTGGAATAATTATTTTCAATGTATAATCAGTATAAACATCTAATATCTTTCCATATTCTTCTATATTTTTTATTTCTCTTTTTCTAGTTCCTTTACATCAATTTGCTTTTTTTTCCCTCGTTGACTTATAATGTCATGAATTAAATGCTGACATTATGATACATAATACATTTTGTGTGTGTGTGTGTGTGTGTGTGTGTGTGTGTGTGTGCGCGTGTGTGTTTAGGAAATGGTGAGATGTGTTGAAGATGGCTTTTTAAATTAGCAGGTGAATTAACAATCAGCACTGGTTTTACAGTGTGGACATCTATTTACCTGTTTCTCAGTGACAGTGGAATGATTTTTACACGTTATATGATTCTAACGATGCCTCCTTTTTTACTCTACTCAGATTCGAAACCAGAGCAAAGCTTCTGGGTCTGGCCTCTGTGAGGGAGATGAAGTGGTTTCTATCAATGGCAACTCTTGTGCAGACCTCACCTACCCTGAAGTCATCAAGCTCATGGAAAGCATAACAGACTCTCTCCAAATGCTCATCAAAAGGTACAACAGATATGTTGGAATATGTGTTTTCTCTTGAAGCTAGATGGTAATGATGATAGCTCATTCTACATATGTAACTTATGGGGAAACTGGGGATGTTTTATAGAAGGTCAGTAAAATTAAACAGAAATACCACAGTGGTTGAAAAATGGGCAATTCTATTCAACTGAACTTTCTGGTTAATTGAAAATTAAACTGAAAATCTTTGTTTCAAGCACTTTTTAAAGAATCTACCTTAGAAAACTCAATCCCTTGAGCATAATTTAATTTTTTTGATAGGTCAAGATTTTGTGGTAGATCAGGACCTGTCAATTATAATTCACAGATGAACTAAAAATGTTTAAGCATTGAACTGTATAATTTTTCTTTTTTCTTTCTTTCTTTTTTTTTTTTTTTGAGTTAGAGTCTCACCAAGTTGCCCAGGCTCCAGTCTGGGCAACAGAGTGAGACTCCAATTCAAAAAAAAAAGAAGAAAAGAAAAAAAGAAAAGGTGCTTAGTAGAAGGAAAAGAACAACAAAAACCCTTAAAAGCAGCCAGATTTCTGCTTGCCAGCATCTACGATAAAACTAATATTTGGGAATGAACAAAAACAATGATTAGAATAAGGTTTTCGTACTAGCAATGCAAGTTATTTGTGAGTTCATTTTTTCCAAATATCACCATCGCCACCTACTTATTTAAAAATACAGAAGAAGCCAGGCTCGGTGGCTCAGCCTGTAATCCTGCGCCTTTGGGAGGCTGAGGTGAGTGGATTGCCTGAGCCCGTGGGTTCGAGACCTGCCTGGGCAGGCGAGACCTCATCTCTACAATAAAATAAAAAAATTAGCCGAGCGTGGTAGTGCGCGTCTATAATTCCCCTACTCAGAAGGCTGAGGTGGAAGGATCACTGGAGCCCAGCAGGTTGAGGCTGCAGTGGATGGGAGCGGCCACTGCACTCCAGTCTGGGTGACAGAGTGAGACTCCAACAACAACAACAAAAAAAATTAAAAAAAACAGAAGAAAACTTTAAACATGAAAACAAAAGAAAACAACAAAAACAATAACAAAAAAACGAAAGCATTGGTATCTTTACAGTGTGCACATCACGGCATCATTCACGCTGATTTTGCACCTAAAGCCCTTACCATTGCACTATAATGAATCTAGTACAAAAAGCTCTGACTTCCTGGAGAAGAGCCTATATAAGAATGATCTAATAGGAAGAACAGTCTCTATAAGAATGATTGATATAGCAATAATCATTCTGTATAAGAATGATCTAATAGGAAAATGCCAGAGAACACCTCAGAACAGATCTCAAAGCCTTCCAGACTTTGCCTCAACTCTGCAGAAACACTACCTACAGCATTGCCCCTCTCATGATCATTCAGCATGATTTTGTTTCAATATAAAAATGAACTCACTATGGCCAAAATCTTGGGACAATAAAGAAAATCTAGCATTATTCTTATACTCTCCTATCTAAATATTTGCTCACCAAACCCATTGTTTAATGCCTCAGAATCCTGCTTATTCATAAAGTTGCCACTTGCTTTTATTTATTTTATTTATTTAATTAATTAATTAATTAATTAATTTATTGAGTTGGAGTCTCCCTCTGTCGCCCAGACTGGAGTGCAGTGGCCACTCCCGGCCACTGCAGCCTCGACCTGCTGGGCTCCAGCGATCCTTCCACCTCAGCCTTCCGAGTAGCCAGAATTACAGGCATGTGCTACCACGCCCGGCTGATTTTTTGATTTATTGTAGAGATGAGGTCTCGCTGCCCAGGCGGGTCTCGAACCCGCGGGCTCAGGCAATACACTCACCTCAGCCTCCCAAAGGCACAGGATTACAGGCTGAGCCACCGAGCCCAGCGCCACTTGCTTTTAAAAGGGACCTACCAGGAATGTTGCTGGGTCTAGGCACAGTGTTTGCTATGATCATGCATAAATCTCCAAAGTATTTGAAGACTTCCATCTTTGTAAATGTTTAGTCATACCTAAAATGAGGGAAAAATCTTTTCTTATGTATTCCCTTTTGAGTGTCTTTCCTGATTTAATGAGAACAGTTTCTTCAGAACACATTTGTGATCTGGGATATTCTTGCTCTTTCTTGTTTTGATGATGATGGCTCTCGGTGGGAAAACCCTTGGTAGTTTAAAGCCGAATCTTAGGTACATTTTTACTTTCAGAAGTAGACTCTGAAACTGAAAGCTTTTACTAACTGGAATCACAGTTATTATTATGTTCTTTTTACATTGTGATCGTTAACATAATAAATCATTAATTGTTGGGTTTCAAATGGAATCCCAAATTAAAATCAACTCAAAAGCAATTATCATCTTCACCACCACCACCACCACACTGCTACTCTGGAGACCTGAACATTGTTTCCTGAAATTCATTACTTTTTTCATTCGCATCATTGTCATCTATCATTAGAGGGTCAGTGTTTTACTTTTCCTGAACTATTGCTCAGAGATGGCTGGGTAAGACTTTTAAAAAATAACTTCTTTAACATTAAGTCTCTGTTATCTTAAATTTTATTAAAATGATAAGACAAAAATAAATGATCATATCATTATGATACATAAATTGTGGAAGTGAGTATCTGTGTAGACTGAAGGGACATGAGTATTTTAAGGTATAAAGCTTTTCTCTCTCCCTCTCAGGTTTTTATGGTTTTTATTCATGTCTATGCATTTTACTTCAGCTACCAATTACCTGGTCCATTTGTCTGTATTCTAGTCTATGAGGCTGGAACAAATGGAAACTACTCTTCTCAGTTTCTAGTTGGTTGCTAACATAGTTCAAGTGATTTAATCTACTTCCATCCCAAGGCCTTTCTAGATTAAAATTCTCTGACCTTTTGGTGCCCTCAAATTCCATTGAACAGAGTATATTTATTATTTTTCATATAAGAATGATCTAACTTGCCATCACCATGCTTTTAAACCACTATAGTATAATGTTTTTCAAATACATTATTACCAGGAAGCTTTTCAGAATGTTTGCATAGAGAAAGCTACATTTTGTTTATCAGTTTGTTTTTGTTTTGTTTTGCCAAATTCAGTCAAAGGCAAAATTAAGAATACTTTGAACATTGGTCTGAAATTCCACTACCACATACATTCTAAGGTAAATTCCTTTGAGTAGAATAGAAGTAGGGGCTCACTCCCTTCAATTGTTGCTTTCAGCATCAGTTGGGGTACATTTTAAGGGAGGGAAACAGGGCAGAAATAGTTACTAATGCTTCTTTAAAAAAATTTACAAATGTAAGAAATGAAGACATTTCCTACAACTGTTTTGTAAATGATGCTTCTCTTCTTAAAAGTATTTAGAGTTTGAATTAGAGTTTTAGAAAAAGTTGTTTGACTCCTAAACTGGCATTACTTCCTCTCACAAGCCCAGATGTGCAAAAACAACTGAGAATGGGTAAGGCAAAAATCAAAGAACTGTGGTGTACTGCTCTGGGCTCCTTAGCTGAGAGATAAAGGAACATTTTGACTTCAGATACCCTAAAAGAAAAATGCTCCAAGAAACTGGTGCAAATAGAAGAAAGGGAGACATCTCAGATTATAAATACTTCATGACTTAATGTTTTGTTGCAGCATGGAAAGGATTTCTCTTTACACAAGAGTACTGGGCTGGGGTCCACTTATTACAAAACACATGCTCTCTGGAGCTTAAAAAAAACCAGCTTCTATTTCATTCCTTTCAAGAAAGCATAGCTTCTAAAAAGATCACTCGTCTTATCTGTAAGTTGAGATTGATCTGAATCTGTTCAATATGATTATGTGATTTTATAATGTCTACTCCAAAACTTAATCAATAGAACATTGAAATGCTTTGTCACATTATAGAAACATGTTGCCAGTTTCAGTTTTCAACTATGTTGCAGTTGACATTCAGGAGGAAAAATGTTGGTTATATTGTGTATTAAACATCATAAAAGTGTCAGGAAATTCTTTGGCAGGTATAACAAACTCTGATTTAAGCATCTGGAATTATTTTTCTGTGCACAGACCATCCAGTGGAATAAGTGAGACTTTGATCTCTGAAACTGAAAATAAAAACCATGAGCATCTCACACATGAGAGGTATGTGGAAAGTACCACCCTGCAGATTCGACCAGTCACAAAGACCCAGTATAGAGAATTCCTCATTGCCCCAGTCAACAGTGGAGTTTCCCTAGCTGAGGACCAAAGAAGTGGTCCTGATTGCACAGGGGGCCTGGAAGAAGAAACAGGCCCGTACTACCAAAGGGCTCCCTACATGCCTGACTCCCAAAGAAGCCACTTAGCAGAAGAAGTTATCATAAGAGAGAAGGCAGCATCAGGGCAGCTAGGCTCTGTGATTGAGCTGCAACTGTCGCTTTCACAGGAGAGACCCAAGGGCACGAGTGGCCCTGTACTGGATCTCCTGGGAGCTGAAAAAGCTAAGTCTCCTGACCCAGACCCTGACTTAGAACATGATGAGATTGTCCACATAAATTCCGTCCCGACTGATGAGCAAGCAGACCCTTCCCTGAGGTCCAGCAAAATCATCCAGATCTCCAGCAGCAGAGAGCTGAGAGTGATCCAGGGAAGGGAAGCAAGCGACGTGGGGCTGCCCCGAGTGGAAGTGATCCTTGACTGCTCTGACAGGCAGAAGACAGAAGGGTGCCGGCTGCAGACAGGAAAGGGGTGTGTGGATTCTCCAGTGGAAGGAGGGCAGTCAGAAGCACCTCCTTCTCTGGTATCCTTTGCCGTCTCATCAGAAGGCACAGAGCAGGGAGAAGATCCACGCTCGGAAAGGGATCACAGCAGACCTCACAAGCACCGAGCGCGGCACGCACGTAAGTCTTGCCCTGTGTCAGTGCCTGCACTGTCAGAAGGGGCTTGGGGCTTCAGGACATTTTGTTGCTACTTTGCTTGCATGTTTTGTTTGTTGTTTGTTTTAAAGATTTTTCTTTTTTCTCATTGGCTTTAAAAAAATATTGAATTAATGCACAGAGTGACAAATGTGAAATTGTGGAGAATGCCAATTTCTGAATGGGGAGCAATAAGTTTGAACTTCCTAGTAGATTTAAATGCTTTTCATGAATTTCTTTTTATCCCTAAAGGCACAGGAACAGTTAAAGAAAATATTGTGAATGTACCTTTTTATTCCATTTCAGAAAATTATATTTTATGTTAAAATAGCATAAGAGAGTATTTGAAGTCATGTGGACTCTGAGTTTAAATGTCAAAAACTGTTGAGTCTGCTGCTGAGACAGGTCTTTAAAATACAAGCTCTACCACTGATATTAAAAGCAGATCCTCATTTTGAAAAAAATCATTGTGCAGCTTGATGATGCTTGCAGAAGTGAGTTTGACAGACAAGACCATGTGTAACACGGAGCAGTTACATGATCCTCTCCGTTCTCAAAGTCTTCACTAGACTGCAAAGTATTTCATCTACCTTCTAGACACAGAAGTCAGTGGTCAGGGTCATGCAGAGGCATTTAAATGTCCCAAACACACAACATATTTAAATCCAAGGCATTTTGTTATACCCAGGGGAGTGATGACAGAAAGGAAAATGAAAATAAGCATTGCAATTAGGAGTTATGATTTTTGTTTTCTTTCATGTATGTGTGTGTGTATGTGTGTATTTATATATATATATATATATATATACCCATGTATATGTGTGTGTGTATATATATACGTATATATATAGTGTCCTTTCATGTATATCTATTACTAATTTTGGCATTTTATTTGAGGACATCAAGGCTGACAGGCAAAGGCACTTGAACATGTGAATGACACCCAACAGCAGTGTACTCGGTTATTCAAAGTGGTATATTAAGTCTTCTAACCTATTCTTTTCAAAGCATATTTTTAGCATAACCATCTGTAGCTTTATTGGCAAGTGCTGTTAATTATTCCTTATACTTTAAGCATCTGTATGCCATCTTCACATTTATAGCATATTAAACAAGGGTATTGAGACACCATTCACATACTTCACATGTTGGCAGTAGAGTTAGCAACAACTGTGCAACTGTGACTGTCAATTTTATAAGTTGTATAACACTAGTCAAAAAATACATTATACATTTAGCAATAACCACACTTTTAACTATTTTCCCCATACAAATTTGGTCACCAATTAATGTCTGCAACTTTGTTATAAAATTATTTTCTCTGATTCTATTTTATTTTTGAAAAATTAATCATTAAGTCTGATTTTTTTCCAGTGACAAAAGAGCTAACTGTCAATCATCAAGTATTCAAAAATGCATTCTGAAATATTCATTTAATATTTTGAGGAATTAAAATGTGATCTCCCTTGGCTAGGCAGTAAATACAGAAAAAAAAGTAAATTATACTCATTATTATTGAAAGCATGATTGTAATTAACTATAAGTCATTATGCTATAAGTTAATTTTCTACAAACTAATTCTCTACCAATTTATTTTTGTAGTAATAATAAAAAGCTTTTAAATATAAAATGTTGTTATTTTTAACTGTCATACTCTTGTTTTAAGTACCTTAATTTCTGTTTCAGTTTTTACACACAGTTAAAAGGGTCACAAGACATATAATTTTTAAACTTCCCCAAGATTCACACTTATTCTTGTTGCAATTAAAGTAATATTATATTTTCAAAGTAGAAATTCATTTATAAACACATTGGTCCAGACAACTTTGAGGCTAGAGTCTTCTCACATGTATTCATAATGATCTTATATTCTGAATTGTAACTAATTTTAATTCAATACCTTGTATGGATTTTGAACTTATATTAATTCAGTAGCTGTGAATGGAAAGAGTTGGAGACAACTGTCAGAGTAAAAAAAGAAAAAGAAGAAAATTTAAATAGCTAAATGTATGATATAAAACATTTAGAAAATGTTAAAATATTTTCTTGGGACACCTTCCCCCCCCCTTTTAATATACTTGGAAACAGTCTTACTGACATTTAAAAAAAATGTGGAAGTACTGGGTATATATTACCTTGTTTTTCAGAAAAGAGCATGTTCTTAAATCATATCCTTTTAAATTCTAATCTTATTCTATTAACTGGCATTTACTAGCCAGTTTTTATTGTTAAAGTGTAAGGGACCATAAGGAAACAAGTGTATAAAACATGCATTCTAATCAGCATTTATAAAAATGTTTTTATGTAAACAAACAGAACAGGGCATTGCATAGTGTTTTTTATACATAGTATATTATTATAGAAGCATACATGATAAAAGAAACAAGAAAGAGAAATGAGTTGAATTCCTTCAGAACTCAGTACCCAACTGTAAGCATTTTCGACATATTCATTTTCCCCCAGGGGAGTCAGTTTCCGAGTTGCTGTGGTGTCTTGCTTGAACTCACGGGCTCATATATTTTGCTTTCCCTAGGGCTCAGAAGGAGCGAAAGCCTGTCAGAAAAGCAAGTAAAAGAAGCAAAATCTAAATGCAAAAGCATCGCCCTCCTTCTCACAGATGCCCCCAACCCCAACTCCAAGGGGGTGTTGATGTTTAAGAAGCGCCGTCGGAGGGCCAGGAAATATACCCTAGTCAGCTACGGTACTGGCGAGCTCGAGCGAGAGGCAGAAGAGGAGGAGGAAGGTGACAAGGAGGATACATGTGAAGTAGCGTTTCTTGGTGCAAGCGAGTCAGAGGTGGATGAAGAGTTCTTGTCTGACGTGGAGGACAACGCACAGCTTGTGAACTTTGACTGGGATTCTGGACTGGTGGACATTGAAAGGAAACTGAACAGAGGGGACAAGATGGAGATGTTACCGGACACCACAGGCAAGGGAGCCCTCATGTTTGCGAAGAGGAGGGAGAGGATGGATCAGATCATAGCCCAAAAAGAAGAGGATAGGGTGGGTGGAATGCCAAGCAGAGAACCGGACCCTGCCCAGACAGATGGTCTGAGAACCATGACCTCTTATCAAAGAAAGGAAGAGGAGTCGGTGAGAATGCAGAGCTCGGTGAGCAAAAGCTACATGGATGTGAGCCATGGTCTCAGCCACGTGCCCCAGCAGAATGGCTTCAGTGGAGTCTCGGAGACAGCGAATGTCCAGAGGATGGTCCCTATGAATCGAACGGCCAAACCTTTCCCAGGGTCTGTGAACCAGCCAGCAGCCCCCTTCTCCCCCCCCCGAAACATGACGAGCCCCATCGCCGACTTTCCGGCCCCTCCACCCTATTCTGCAGTCACGCCCCCACCTGAAGCCTTCTCCAGAGGGGTCTCGAGTCCGATCGCTGGCCCAGCACAGCCTCCGCCATGGCCCCAGCCCGCCCCATGGTCCCAGCCAGCCTTTTATGATTCGTCGGAGCGAATAGCTTCCCGGGATGAGAGGATCTCCGTGCCGGCAAAGCGAACAGGAATACTGCAGGAGGCCAAAAGGCGGAGCACCGCGAAACCCATGTTTACTTTCAAAGAGCCCAAAGTAAGCCCAAATCCTGAACTCTTGTCACTCCTTCAAAATTCAGAAGGCAAGCGGGGCACTGGGGCTGGAGGGGATTCCGGACCGGAAGAAGACTACCTCAGCTTGGGAGCAGAGGCTTGTAATTTCATGCAAAGTTCCTCTGCTAAACAAAAGACCCCACCTCCTGTTGCTCCCAAACCTGCAGTCAAGTCCTCATCCTCCCAACCAGTAGCGCCAGTTTCCCCAGTCTGGTCTCCAGGAGTGGCTCCAACGCATCCTCCTGCCTTCCCCACAGCCAACCCATCGCAGGGCACCGTTGTCTCCTCCATCAAAATAGCCCAGCCTTCCTACCCTCCTGCCCGGCCCGCGAGTGCGCTGACCCTGGCTGGTCCCTTCAAAGGACCCCAGGCGGCAGTAGCCAGTCAGAATTACACACCCAAGCCAACAGCTCCCACACCCACAGTCAACGCTGCTCATGCTGGTGCAGTGGGACCATCCAATGAGCTTCCAGGAATGAGTGGGAAGGGAGCCCAGCTCTTCGCTAAAAGGCAGTCGAGAATGGAGAAGTATGTGGTCGATTCAGACACGGTGCAGGCCCACGCGGCTCGAGCTCAGTCTCCCACACCATCCCTGCCGGCCAGTTGGAAGTACTCCTCCAATGTCCGAGCACCTCCTCCTATGGCCTACAATCCTATCCACTCCCCCTCCTACCCACTGGCGGCTGTCAAGTCTCAGCCATCAGCCACACAGGCCTCCAAAACAGGCAAGAAAAAGGGCAAGAAACCCCTCAATGCTTTGGATGTCATGAAGCACCAACCGTATCAGCTCAACGCATCCCTGTTTACCTTCCAACCTCCAGATGCAAAGGATGGCCTCCCCCAAAGATCATCAGTCAAGGTCAATTCAGCCCTGGCCATGAAGCAAGCTCTCCCACCCCGGCCTGTGAATGCTGGCTCACCTACAAGCGTGCAGGCTTCATCAGTGTACTCGGTACCAGCCTATACCTCTCAGCCATCTTTCTTTGCAGAGGCCACCTCACCCGCCACTGCATCCCCAGTGCCTGTGGCTGTTCCCACTTCTCCAAAGCAAGAATCGGCCTCATCATCTTACTTTGTGGCACCAAGGCCAAAGTTCTCAGCCAAGAAAAGTGGTATCACAATTCAGGTGTGGAAACCATCTGTTGTGGAAGAGTAACCTTGTAGTTGAAGCTGAGTGTCCACTTTGCTTGAAATGAATTGTTTGCAGTGTTTCCTGAGTCCCTGAGAATGCCTAGCAAGTCCTCAATTTACTTAATTTCAGATATGTCACCTTCCAATCTGGGTCCAAGGAGCATAATATTTTTAATAAGTCAAAAATCCAACTCAGATTGACTTAGAAGTATTTATCATCTTTGCACACTTAAAAAATCCAGGAGCACCCCCAAATAGACATGTGCTAATATGTTAAGTAAGCAGGATACTTAGGATTTATGCTTTAGCCACGAGAAAGACAGTGATCAGTGTTATCAAACATTAAGACACAGCACTTATGTGACATAACAGCTGAGTTCCTACGATGAAAAGATTCGAGTGTAGGGAAGATAAAGCCCGTATTGACTGAGATTTCCCCTGTTATGTAGAACTGTATCTCCATCACTAGTGCTAAGGGAATAAGAAGTCTATCAACGACAGGGAGCAGCTCTAGTCTGTCAATCTCAGCCACCTGTTTGATATCACAGAGAAGGTACTCTGGGGATTGTTGGAGTGAACATAGTTTAGCAGTAAGAGGGTCTTAATAATTAGTGAGCACTTAGCTTCTTTGCCAGATGTTTTTACACCCATTAACTCATGTCTGGAGACTTATTTAAGGGAAATGAGACCAGGCACTGTGGCTCACACCTGTAATCCAGCACTTTGGGAGGCCAAGGTGGAAGGATTGCTTGAGCCCAGGAGTTTGAGAAAAGCCTGGGCAACATAGAGAGACATTGTCTCTACCAAAAATTCAAAAACTTAGCTGGAATGGTGGCATGCACCTGTAGTCCCAGCTACTCAGGAGGCTGAGGTGGAAGGATCACCTAGTTCAAGAGGTGGAGCTGCAGTGAACCATAATTGTGCCACTGCACTTTGGCCTAGGTGACAGAATAAGCCCCTGAATCAAAAAAGAAGGGACTGGGATAGGGCAAGAAGGTTGATTATTATTAGAGATTGGTTCCCATCCTGCCCCCCAGTTACATAAGGAACTGAGTACATCCCTAGTTGCCCATGAAAGCATGTTTGCTTTCTTCAGCCAAGGCAAGTGGTAGAGTATATTGTATGGAGCAGCATGTAAAATGCTGGGTGCACATAAAGGTATACATGACTATTGTTTTACCTTGGGAAACCACATGATTGGAACCTGAAGGGTTACTGCCTACAGGGGCTGATTATGGAGCACGAGGAACCCTATGTGCATGGAGACTGTAGGGTGAGAACAGATGATCCTTAGCGTCATTTCTAAGTGACCTCAGAGATTTGTTTTCTTGTGTTCATTTTGCTTTTTGAAAACTGCTTCTCCCACTGTTCCCTGCAACTCTATTCTTGCACCTTCACTTTATTACTCATATTTGATGGACCAGGATAATTCAGGCAAGGTTATCTTGTAAATTTGAATTGGTCACACACCATGTCATCATCCAGCTGGCTATGAAGTGAATAATGGTGCTGAAAGTAAACCTGAAGACCTTTCTCAGATCTATTTTAAGTCTGAGTCTGACCAACCATGGAAAATATTCAACATGAATTAATGTAGAGAACTGTAAAGCATTTATGACATCTCCAAGGAAAATCACCTCTCTATGAAAGAGATACATTTAGAGACCTCTCAGAAAAACTTGCCTGGTTTGAGGGTACATGGTACCATTTAAATCCTCTGAAATATCTGTATTCCTGTTCTTTTTCTGCTGTCACTGTCAATCTGCTATGTTTTTCACTGTCCTATTAAACTACTACTTTCTTCTTTATCTGTTCAATGTCTATATTTAAAAAATTCTCCCTTGTATGAGCTAGTCTGATCTAATACATTTATCTGGTATTTCTTTCAGATGGCCCCTACAATTTCCATTTTGTGAGTATATCCATTTCTCCATACACTAAAACTGCAAACCTTAGGGATTTCTAAAACATAACACAAAGAGGAGGAGAATTACGTCAGCCACAGAACAATGGGACTGATTCTTCTGTGCTTTCTCTGGGAAATCTTCCATTGCTTTTGGTGGCAATTTACCTAGAGGTTACAACTACAGGATGTTGCTTAGTCTCTTATTTACCTTTTTGGGAAATCAATTATGAAGACTAAAACAGGAGAAAGGAAAAAAGCAATCTATTCATTATATAACACAGTTGTTTGTATTACTTGTTCCCTGCAGAGGAAATCTGTTGAATGCTGTGCATTTTGCATTCTTTTCTAGTAGAACAGCCAAAAAAAAAAAGACTCCTTAAGGTGAGGTACAGAAAAATCAATTTTATAGCTTTGCATTCTTAAAACAGCATTTAAAGAAGAGCACGGATTAGAGGAAAGACATGGAACACACAGGTAGTCAATTTGAGCATCCTCGAATGATAATGACCCAGAAGTATTTCCAGGTGTCTAGTGGTTTGTGGAATGTAGGAATGAGAAGTGTTTCACTTCCTGTTGGACAGGTGACAATCGCAGCATAGCCACTATTTGGAGTTGATGACTAAAGATGCAACGAACATGACTTAGTCTTCTAGTCATCCTAGGACTATTTGGGGTTCCCCAAAACTTCCTAAGAGGCATGATAAGCACGTAGTCAAAGCATCTACAACTTCAACTGGGAGCTAGTGGTATAAGTCTCATCTTGGACCAGTAGGTCCTACTTTATAGAAGAGGGGTGGAAATTGTCCAAAACCATATCCATAACAGTCTTACCTCACTTTGAGGGATATGGTAAGGGAAGGGAGAGGGAGAAAGATGCCTGGAGTCAGAGGGATTTCCTTTCCTTGTTCTTCCCCATCAGGGAGCTGTATGTGCTACTTTTTAGGCAGAGCTATGGAAGATAGGTCAATGTGGCAGGTGGGAGAGTCAGGCCTCAAGACATTAGCTGCCCTCCTGCTGGGTACCCTTTGCAGTCCGAGTGCCTTTGGTTTATTTGTGGTAGTCGTTGTTTGACTGGTTGGCTGGCTGGCTGGCTGGCTGATGGTGAGGTGGGGTGGCAGTTTTTATTTCGATTTTAGCACCTTGCACCCTCTCTAGGTTAATTTCTAGGTAGGGCACACGTGATGTCAGTTTTCATTGTCAGTTCAAAAGCAAGGGTCCTTCACTGAGTCCTTGTGTTATGTCAGGTGCCTTGTGTACATCATCCTGAGGAATTCACTGCATGGCTTACACAGGCACTGGAATATATGCTAAAATGGCAACCACAATCACTGACTGTCTGCCGGACCTTAAACATGTTTCTCTTTGCACGAGTTTCTTCTTCATGTGTGAAGCCTTTCTTCCTAACTGGGATGCTGAGCTGTAGTGGGTCTACGTAACAACACTTGAGACTATAGGAGGAAGAACTGTGCTGTGATCAGTATGGCATAGCCCCTCAGTTCTAGAGGAGGGTAGAGTGAACCCAGGACTGGTAAGATTGAGAATCGGAGCATTGCCACTCTACCCTTAGAACATTGATCATTTTCTTTCTAATATTTTATTTATGGACACATTCTGTTTTAAGAGGGGAAAAACCACAGTGTTTCTGTGTTGGTAGTATAAGCATACATTTTTAGGAATATGTTCTATAAGACACATTTAGGTTGTCATTCTACAACATGTAAAACTTTGCACTTGAAAATATATCTAGCATGATGCTTAGTGATCATGAGTGCCAGACTTTGCATTAACTGTCTCATTTACTTTTCACAAGAAGCAACTTATTTTAACCAGGAAAACAAATCCAAGCTACAGATAGTTTTTTTTGAAACAAGCAAGGGTTATTTAACTATTCTAGCTAGTGCTGACTTCTTTCAAGAAACAGGAGAGCTATCACCCTATATTCCAGCCTGACAGCAAGAGTTACATCTGAGATGTCAAAAACAAATGATCTTCATCTGAAGGGGATGGGCTGACATATGTGAGGCCATTTTCCTATTTTCAGTTATAAGGCTAAAGAACGTTGAAGGCCATTTTGCCATCGACAGGCATGTGGAAGACTCTATGCAGCTTTTTCATAGTAAAGCCTAAGAGCAGAAGGCACATGGCTGTTTGTGTCTGCATCTAGACTTAATCTTTCAAATAAAAACCCCCTGCTATGTATAATTTCATCCAGTTATAAATTAGAAAACTTGTAAGTACCTAAATTCTAAAGATGAATTCCTGAAATCAGTTGCTATTTTATGAGTCACCACCGGCCTGGCAGGAAGGGTATTTGAAGTCATGGTCATCAGAAATAAGGGATTGTTTTCTAAAAAACAAAATACTTAAAGTGCTTCCAGAGGGAAACAGTGGGGTGTGTGCTCATTCTCTTCTAAAATAAGTATTGTTAAGTTTGTTTTATAACATTTTTTAAGTTCCTGAGAAAAAGATGTCATTTCTAAGAACCTATGATATATTCCCAGAAGTACTGACCCTCACTGGTCTTATGTCCACATACTATTGGACTTGGGGACACAAAGATGCCTGTGACACTTCAGTGTTGCTGAGTAGTTAACAAATTTTCTGGGAACAGCAGAATTGAATTCTTCTCTAGATGTTCCACCAGGGCCAGTCAAGGCCATAAGCAGGCTAGTGAATTCCCACAGGACCCAAACACCAGAAAATATTGCTCTTTGAGACCAGTCTCTGTTTATTCCTCTATGGTTCTAAAAAACACAGTTCAAAAACTAAGGTCATCCTATGAGCATCAGGCCAATAAAAACCCACTGTGTAGAGAGACCCTTGAATCAGAACTATCTTTTTCTCAATGTTGTCAGATGCAGTCAGTTTCTCAACTTTCTTCTAAATGTACATTTCTATAGTATTTATATCTGTACACTAAACTACTTCTTGCAACTTGGAAATCACAGAATTACACAGAGGCAATTGAATGAAAATAAATTTAATTAAAAATATCAAATCTTCTCAGACATTTCTTAGACTCCTGATTTCATCCAAGGTTTCCAGCTAAAGAGTACATCTCGAGTGCACAGAAAAGAAAGTTAGACTTT